AACTTCCAGATGTTCAAGCTGGTTTTAGAAAAGGCAGAGGAGCCAGAGATCAAATTGACAACATCTGCTGGATCATCGAAAAAGCAAGAGAGTTCCAGAAAAACATCTATTTCTGCTTTATTGACTATGCCAAAGCCTTTGACTGTGTGCATCACAATAAACTGTGGAAAATTCTTAAAGAGATGGGAATACCAGGCCGCCTGACCTGTCTCGAGAAATCTGTATGCCAGTCAGGAAGCATAGACATGTCCAATTAGAACTGGACATGGAACAACAAACTGGTTCCAAATAGGAAAAGGGGTATGTCAAGGCTGTATGTTGTCACTCTGCTTATTTAACTTACATGCAGAGTACATCATAAGAAATGCTGGCCTGGAAGAAGCACAAGCTGGAATCAAGATTGCTGGGAGAAATATCAATAACCTCAGATATGCAGACGACACCACCCTTATGGCAGAAAGTGAAGAGGAACTAAAAAGCCTCTTTATAAAAGTGAAGGAGGAGAGTGAAAAAGTTGGCTTAAAGCTCAACATTCAGAAAACTAAGATCATGGCATCTGGTCCCATCACTTCATGGCAAATAGATGGGGAAACAGTGGAAACAGTGTCAGACTTTATTTCGCGGGCTCCAAAATCACTGCACATTGTGACTGCAGCCATGAAATTAAAAGACTCTTACTCCTTGGAAGGAAAGTCATGACCAACCTAGACAGCGTATTTAAAAGCAGAGACATTACTTTGCCAACAAAGGTCCATCTGGTCAAGGCTATGGTTTTTTCAGTAGTCATGTATGGATGTGAGAGTTGGACAGTGAAGAAAGTTGAGCACCGAAGAATTGATGCTTTTGAACTGTGGTGCTGAAGAAGACTCTAGAGAGTCCCTTGGACTGCAAGGAGATCCAACCAGTCCATCATAAAGGAGATCAGTCCTGGGGGTTCATTGGAAGGACTGATGTTGAAACTGAAACTCCAATACTTTGGCCACCTGAGGCGAAGAGCTGACTGATTGGAAAAGACCCTGATGCTGGGAGGGATTGGGGGCAGGAGGAGAAGGGAACAACAGAGGATGAGATGGCTAGATGGCATCACCGACTCAATGGACATGAGTTTGAGTAAACTCTGGGAGTTGATGATGGACAAGGAGGCCTGGCGTGCTGCGATTCATGGGGTCGCAAAGAGTCGGACACGACTGAGCGACTGAACTGAACTGATTCTATCCAAAGAAGGGTGAAGTGCTCTGTAAAGAAAAAGAGAAATTTCTGGAAGCTTTAATATAAGCAAGTTACACGATGCAAGTGAGGAGTGTAACTAACGTTCACCAAACCTTTCACTAGTGCTTTTTCAGGCATGTGGAAGATCATTGCCTCATCACTTTCAAAATGAAGTGTGACGACTTTGGTTAATGAGATGTGAAATAGATGTAGCAAGTGTCACAGTAATTGGCAGATTTTAGAGCAGTTTTTGATTCACTGAATTCTCTTCCCCTTCATAGATCAGAGAACAGATTGAGGGGGAATTTCCAGGAGGTTCCTCAGTGGTTTTGATAAGCAGAATTCCCCTCAACCCCTTTCTCACCTCCCTATACCCTGTGATGAAAATGTGTGTGTGAGTCGCTCAGTCATGTCCAACTCTTTGCAACCCCATGGACTATAGTCTGCCAGGTTCCTCTGTCCATGGAATTCTCCAGGCAAGAATACTGGAGGGGGTTGCCATTTCCTTCCCCAGAATATGTAGAATATGTATAAATGGAGAAGAGGAGTTTTGTTATTGGAAGCCTCTGAAGTTCGGGGGGGGTTATTTGCAGATGCCCTCAAGGTAACTGGTTCTTTCTGATACAATGTGAGCTTTTATTCAGACAGTAACATATCAGGTGGATTTCAGAGGACAAACATTGCAGAGAACTAGCTAGAATGCTACCGTATTTCACAGATGATAAGTCCAGGCCCTGGAAAGGGCCATGACCCTAGAAAAATTGAAAATAACTCTGAGACTGTGAAGAGCCTCTTGATGAAAGTGAAAGAGGAGAGTGAAAAAGTTGCCTTAAAACTCAACATTCAGAAAACCAAGATCATGGCATCCGGTCCCATCACTTCATGGCAAGTAGATGGGGAAACAATGGAAAACAGTGACAGACTATTTTCTTGGGCTCCAAAATGACTGCAGATGATGACTGCAGCCATGAAATTAAAAGACACTTGCTCCTTGGAAGAAAAGTTATGACCAACCTAGACAACATATTAAAAAACAGAGACATTACTTTGCCAACAAAGGTCTGTCTAGTCAAAGCTATGGTTTTTCCAGTAGTCAGGTATGGATATGAGAGTTGGACTATAAAGAAAGCTGAACACTTAAGAATTAATGCTTTGAACTGTGGTGTTGGAGAAGACTCTTGAGAGTCCCTTGGACTGCAAGGAGATCCAACCAGTCAATCCTAAAGGAAATCAGTCCTGCATATTCATTGGAAGGACTAATGCTGAAGCTGAAACCCCAATACTTTGGCCACCTGATGAGAAGAACTGACTCACTGGAAAAGACCCTGATGCTGGGAAAGATTGAAGGCAGGAGAAGGGGATGACAGAGGATGAGATGGTTGGATGATATCACCGACTCTATGGACATGAGTTTGAGTAAGCTCCAGGAGTTGGTGATGGACAGGGAAGCCTGGCATGCTGCAGACCACGGGGTTGCAGAGTTGAACACAACTGAGTGACTGAACTGAACTGTGACTGTGAAAGAACCTATGTCTAATTGTTTTTGAGTGTTAAAAACAGAAGGTTCTTGAAAGAAGAGAGATGACTAAGTGCTGAGTTAAAGTTTAAAAATAATTAATTTAAAATGTAATTAATATTAAATTTAATCTTTCAGAAAGATTGAAGAAGGAGCTACTGGCAGTCTGGCAAAACATATCACATCAAAAGCCTAGGCACATTCCTATCCAGAGAAGGATATAGAAAGATCATAAACTTTGGAAGAAATCAGACCTGGGTGTGAATCCTGAGTGAATTTGTCAAGTCATCCAGTTTCATTCATTCAGCAAATAGTAAACAACTTCATTCATGCACTAACTAACTTCATTCATTCAATAACATTAAAGAACACCAAAAAGGCCACTGTCCTACTGGAGCTGAACTCCAAAAATAGGGAAGCAAGCACTACATATTTAAGCACTGTGCAGAAAACAGACCTGATATTGTGACCATGAAAAGGGGGCAAAAACAATAATACAGGCCTTGTCAAAGGTCATTACCATTTCACTTTGTTCAAAACTCTCATCTGGCACCAAGTCAAAAGCAGAGATTTCTGTGTCCTTTGTACTTACAAAAAGGACTGCCCTCACTTTCCTTTTGTTTTATACATTTCAAGAGCCAGCTGGGAAACTCTCAACTCTGAAACCATTTTTTAAAAAATCAAAAATTCTGGTTAATTAACACCATCTAGTGAGCATACTCAATGTTCATTGGAAGGGCTGACGCTGACTGCTGAATTAGATTCCCACAATTGTTTAGGGTGGGCACACTGATGATGCTGATTTATAGACTAGTAAGTGTGGAAAAGATGCAAAATCGAAACTCTACTGCAGAGACCACACTTAACGTCTCCTGCGTCCTAACCCTGTTTACATCACAAGTTTCCTTCTTGCTCCTTTGTAGCATTAGAAGTGACTTGCAGTTGACTATTGCCACCCCTTCTAAAGTCAATAAAGCCAAGTCTGGACTTCAGTCAAAATGACATCTTTTTAGGAAAAGGCAATTGAAATCCAAATTAAGAAAGCTTCTGGACTTCAATATAAAGGAGGAGTATTTAACGCCAGCATTGAGGGTTGTTGTTTTTTCCAGGAAGTAATGTCAGTTCATGCAAGACTGTCACAGGCCTCTCAGAATTCTCGGACCCTTATTTTATCAACAGAGCACCTGATATCTCATCTAACAAGGATGGCAGGAGAAAGTTTCAGAAGCACTCTCCTTATCAATGTGGAGCAGCTATAGCAACATCGTGGGAAACTCCAGAGAGCTTATATAAAGATACTTCAACACCTGGGGGCTTCCCAGGTGGTGCTAGTGGTAAAGAACCCACCTGCCAATGCAGAAGACCAAAGAGACTTAGGTTTGCTCTATCCCTGATTGGAGAGATCCCCTGGAGGAAGGTATGGCAGCCCACTCGAGTATTCTCACCTGGAGAATCCCATTCTCAGAGGAGACTGGCAGGCCATGGGGGTCACAAAGAATCAGACACAACTGAAGCAACTTAGCACGCAGGCACCTGAGTATACAGACTCCCATTGCTGGGGAGTCCGGTGTAACTGGCTTGGGGTGTTCTAGGATTTTTAGAGGCTCCATAAGAGATACTAATATACAGCCAGAGTTGACATTTGGTGGCATAAAAAGAACAGAGGGGAGTTTATAATTATTCCCTCTACAACCATAAAGGAGAGTGTGTACCTTCATTCATTCACTGTCAGGGTTTCACCTACCTACAGAGGTGCAGAGGTCTAATATACCGTGACCCCATTCTAATTGCAAACAAGTGGTTCTCCACCATCAGCCACCAAACCACACATTTCATACGTGCTTTCTGATGACCAGCTACTGCAGATATCAGCAACCCTGATCCAGAGTAAAGGTTCTTAACCTGGAGATGGAATTCAGGTTGTCTGTGAACCGTGGATGGGAATCAATACTACATCTGTCTTTTCACTAAACTTTCCTGGAAGACCAGCGTTTTCTTCAGCTATGAACACAGCTAACAAACCACAACAGTATCGGCGGTTCTTGAGACTGTACCCACTGGTATCTTCATGTCACGTTTCAGTTTGGCAGTCATCACGACTTTGAGATTACGGTTGTTTAACAGATCTGCTGTTAGATCGAAATATTCGGTGCAATAATCACGATGCATGTATGTTACTAGATCATGACTTTACTACTTTGATAATTTGTTCCAGTAAAACGGATTCGGAGAATGGCAATACTGTAAGAAGGATCTGAATGCTTCACCAGAGCCCATGTGGTCAGTGGCACAAGAAAATGGCTCGAGCCCTGCTCTGCGGACGGTGCCCAGCACGTCCGCCTCCAAGGCCACCTCGGAGAAGGAGAAGCGCCCTCTCAGGCCGGAGGCACCCCGACAAAGCTGGCGCGCGGCCTCCCGTGCACTTCCGCAGATAAGATTTAACGTGAAAAGCCAGTTCAACGCGGCGGAGAATCGGCTGGATGAGCTTTCCCTTTCCCCTCAGCTGCCTCCTGCTCTTGGCATTTCGGAGTGCCCAGACCGCCAGGCTGGTAACTTGAGCCTCCAAATTAATCAAAACACAACAGCACCCAGTTCAAGCCCAGGCAGACAAGACTGGAGCCAGACAAGCTCTCCTCCCGTGACCCCCGGGCCCAACTCCCCAGCCCCGCCCGCCCGCTCGCCGGTGCGCCCCACCCCGGGATGCCGCGCACGCTTCCTCCGCCGCCCGCGCCCCCAGCCGGTGGCCCGGACCCTGGGCCCCGGATCGTCCAGACCCGGTCATGGTCTCCTTACCTCGTGGGGACACCCGCCGCCCCGGGGAGCTGCCGCGGCGCCCGCCGGCGCGGCGCGCACCTCCCGCAGCGCCCAATTCCACGCGCCACTCGGCCACCGGTTCACCGCGCTCTCACCGCCGCTGCGTCCGGCGGCGGCCGGATGGAGGCGGGTTGAGAAGGGGAAAGTGGCTAGACGGCACCGCCGGGGAACCCGGAGCCAGCGGGGCCACCCGAGTGCCCACCCCGGCGCGCCTCCCGCTTAATCTGAGGCAGGGCCGCTGGCCACTCCCTCCACCCTGCTCGGTCACCTCCCCTTCGCACACCCCCCAGGTCCCCACCTCCGACTCGCCACCTCTTACCCCGACTCGCACCACTTTGCCGCGCCGCGACTCCTGACCCTCGGGCGCATCACCTCCTGCACCCCTTGGCCTGGCCCCGCGGCCACCTGCCCCGCAGGCGCGCAGCCTTTCCTCGCCTCCCGCGCGCGCTGCCCGGGGCTGAGGGACGTCGCCTGGAGAGTTGGGGAGGAGCGGGCGGGGGGGACGAGGGCGGGACCTGAGCTGCTTCTTCCCTCCCTGGAAGCCTCGGTGGGGAGGCTGAGCCCTACAAAACCCGCCCCGAGCGGGCTGGCCGGGCGAGCTTCACCGCCGGGCTCCCAACGCGCGCCGCTCAGGGGACGCGGGGGCCCGAGAGCCTGCGGGTCCCTGGACCACGCCGGGGCTCTGAGCGGTCGCCCACCATGCGCCCGAGGACCGCGCCGAGGCCGCCGGCGCTGCTGCCGCCGCTCCTGCTTTTGCTCCTCGTGGCGGCGCCCACGGAGGGCAAGGTGAGTACCCGGGGCGGGGGAGGGGACGGCGCGACCCCAACCCCACTTCCCCTGGCAGCCTGCCCCGTCCGCGGGGAGCGCTGTCCTTGAACCTCTGCTGGGAGGTGCGGTGACAGTGGGCTCTAAGCAGACTCCTGGTTGGAGCAAGCGAGGATGCCCCGGGACAGGTGGAATGCGCGGGGTTGGAGGAAGAGGCGAGGGGGGAGGCTTGTTTCTCGTTCCCTAGGGATCAGGGGTAGGAGCTAGCCCTCCAGAGGGAGGGAGAGAGGGAGCCAGATAGGTAGATGGATGAATAGATGGATAGAAATGCAGGCAGATGTATATAGAGAGATGTGGGTGGATAGACAATCGCCAGGGATGAGCGCTTGAGAGCACCGGATGTAGAGACACGCGAGGTCACCCTGGTGAATCAGAGCAGGCAGCATGGCCTGGCAGAGAGGACAGAAGGCTGGAGTCCCAGCCCTGCCACTTCCTAGATGTCATCTCACACTCCTGTTCCTCCTTGTCAATACTTGCCCTCCGGGGTTCCATCAGTTTTGTTGAGAAAAGCAAATGCATCACTGAAAAGTTAGTAGCACCTTACACAAGTCATGTTAGGATAAATCAAGCAATCTGTCTCCGTGACTTCTGTTCGAAATGTGAGAGATCCTGGATTCATTTAAATCACCCTGCATATTTCTTGTTATCTGAGAAGATACATTTTTTTTGTCCTCAAAACTGTTAGGACTCCTGAAGTAGACTTACTGGATTTTAACTGGTGGAAGTGCAATTTAACTTTTCAGATGCTTTCTGTGACTTCTATTTTTGTAAGTTTTAAGAATTTAATTTGGGATGACAATGCAGTATAAATTTCATTTCCCAGGATGATCAGATTTTTTTTAACAAATTTCATGGTTAAGATTGTGACTGGAAGTTAATCATCACATAAGTATGTGTTACATGAAAAGATTCTTCCAACCTACAGTCACAAGTAATCCAAGCATTTTCCTTTTAAATTAAAATTTATGACATTGCAGGTGAAGCTAAAACCCTCTTTTATCACCTCCATACCTTCCCCCACCCCTGTCTAAAGAAGGGTATCCACTCTCACCACTTGGGTTTCTTTTCAGATATTTTTCTGTGCATGTGTATATGCATGTGTAGACCCACAAACAATATGTGTTTTGTATGTATTTTTAACAAAATTGATACCATATACCTTATACTTTTGCCTTCTACAGGTCTATCTATGCCACTATTTAAGACAGATCTGCCTCTTTTTCTTTTTGCATTGTTGCAGTTTTCCACAATATGAATATGCCAAATTTAACTGAGCCATTTCCCTATCTATGAACATTTAGGCTCTTTAGTGTTTTATACTCTAAAGGATTTTATAATCCATGTAATCTCTTCATGAAGTTGGTCCTAATAAAAATGTGCTTTACCTAGACTAAGGATGACCAACCCAGGTAGCTCAGTACTTCTGAACATGATGGCTAGAACTCAATCTAAGTCAGTATAGAATGTCTGCCAGCATTAATCCAGAAACAAATACAAGTGAAAAAAAAATAGCTGAAGTATCTGTATGTGTGTGTGAGAAGGGCTGGGTTTGCACATTCTTCTAGAGTCCAAAGAAGAGGGGAGATTAGCGACAGGTGGAGAAAGAGGGAAAATATTACCAACGAGTAAAAATCAGCCTGAAAAAAGGATGCTCTGTGATCATACCGCCTCTACTTATACCAATTCTCAATTATACTGTCTTATTCCTTATTGTTTTTTACATAAGAAATTTTCTGTCTTACTTTTGGCCAAATCTTGGAGGCTACCTGCTGATGTTACAATGAATCCATTCGTATTATTTTTATTATCATTTGGAGTAAGCCTCTGTAAAAAACTTTGCTGAGTTACACAGTGTCACTAGAAAGCATGAAATGTGCCCTCATCACATAGAAAAAAAGGAATCACAGCAAATTAACTGATAACTGGTCTGCAAGATGCCAGCATGGCGCCCTTCTAAGGGTAATTCTGATGTTGGGTGAGGCTGTTGACCTCTCTGAGCCTCACTCTTTTCATCTGTAGCATGAGGGAGTTGAAACCCTTCATGAGGTAAGCAGGTGAGGTTTAACTGAGTGAGGCTTTGTGGGGAGTGGGGGCACTCTTCAGGGCCAACTAAGTGTTGGCATTCTAGAATTCAGATTTAGTAATACCAGAATCCACCTTTTTCAGAAAAGAAGCTGGAAATCTAGTTTCCATTAGGAATCTCTTAAATTCTAAATATTAGCAAAGAAATTAAAACTTTACAGAAGTGAGAGCCAGATGTAGTCATTGGTCCATCCTATTTATCATCTTTGTGCTACATAGTTACAGACATATTTTGCTCTAAATTCCTGTGATTTCATTTTAGCATTTCTCAAAACAAAGAAATAGTGCTGTTCACCCTCTATTCCGAGTTCAGGCGGGGTGGAACTGTCCACCCACACAATTTGTTCTGAAGAACCCTGAGTAAAATCCTGCTGCTGCATTGCTGAAGGCATCCAGTTCCAGGCCTGACTGTTCAGTACATGCCCAGTTTTTATAGCTGTTCCCAGGCCCAGCTGGAAATTGGGAGGCACTCTGCCATTGCCACCGGCGGCAGATCTGGGAGAAGTGCAGAGAAAGCGCCTTCTCTGATTATCTGGGGAAGGTGAGATTCATGGTTTGAGATATAGTTTAGCCTTCCTCTCTTTTCCTTAAAATTCCAGACAGGGCAGGAATATGGCCAGCAAGTATCAGGAACCGAATAACAGCTGTGTTTAGGGAGGGTGCTTCTCAACTGATTTGGTTTTTAAATCTAAAAACAAAAAATTAAGTTGAATTAAGAAACATTTCAAACAGACAGAAAGTCATGTAACAGACTCCAGTTTATCCGTCTCTGAGATTAAGCACATATTAAGTTTGGACCTGTTTGTTCTCACATCTCTCCTTTCAGGAAAAGAATAAGTAAATACAAAAAGTCCTACATTCATTTTTTGCCTCCTCTTCCATGCATGGTTTTATATTTATGCACCATGGATGCGTATGTGTGTCAGTCACCATAAAAAATAAATGCTATTGTTGTATGGTCCTTCAAGTGTAATAAATGATTTCACATGATATATACTTATTGGAGCTTGCTTGTGCCAGTCAGCAGGATATTTCTGGATTTTATCCATGTTGATACATAGAGATGTGATTTGTTTACATACATATAAATGTAATAGCTGCTGCATATGTAATAGCTGCCACATAGTATTCAGTTACATAAATAAAGTACAATTTATTTTTCCATCTGCCAAACAGCAAGTTTGTTTCTTTGCTCTCCTCTTACAGAATTGAAGTGTACAGCTTTGTATATGTACCACTGTGACAACAAGATGTTGAATTGCTAGGGGGAATTCAAAGAGGGTTATCAGAGAAAACATATTTTAAATTGTGTTAGGGATTGTCAAATCAACTCCAACAATGTGCCAGAGTACCTGTTTTCCTATATCCTCAGCAAAACTTGGTGTACTGAGATGTTAATGGATGTGAAATCAGATCTTGTTTTGACTAATGAGTTTAGCATTTTTTGATTGACAGTCTATAATTCTCTCTGAGTGAATTGCATAAATAGGTCTTTTCCTATTTATCTTTTGTGACCTTTGCCTTTTTGTTGCTAATTAACTAGAAGTTGTTTATATTTGGATACTGAATTAATTCTGCTATTTAAATATGCACAAAATATTTCATTCCAGGTTTTGGCTTACCTTTTCATTTAGTTATTGGTGCCTTAACGTATAATTTTTCTTTTCACTGTAATCTCAGACTTATCCATGTTTTCCTTGACTTCATTGATTTTGTGTTGCGCTTCTTGAGATCTTTTCCTTCCCCGGGATTATAAAAATATTCTCCTATGGTAAAAAAAATTATAGTTTAATTCTTTTGCATTTAAGACTCAATCTTTGAATTGTTTTCTACTTCTGGGATTATAATCTTATCTTTCTCCATAGAGAAAAAGAATTGTCCCAACATTATTTATTAAAAAGTTTGTCCTTTTCCTCACTGTTTTGCTATGTTACATCTGCAAACATGTGTACCAAACACTCATTAATATTTGATCTGTTTGAATTCTTACATGGGTCTGTTTATTCAGGGCTTTAATTTCTCACAATGTTTTAGAGTTTTCTGGGTTTTTTTAATTTCTAAGTATTTTACATTCTTAGTGTTATTATAAATAATACATTCTTTTAAAAAATTTATAGTCTAACTAATAAATTTATTAAAAAGTAGTTGAATTTTATATTTTGACTTTGATCAAGCAACTTTTTGAATAGTCCAAATGCATTTAAAGCTGAAAAGGTTCCCCTAAACACTGTTTCAGCTGCATCATACAAGTTTTGATAAAAACTACTTTAATATCATTAAGTTCAAAATCTTTTCCAATTTTTTCTTTGTTTTATGGGTTATTTAAATGTTTATTTCTTAATTTTGAAGCACAGGAAAATTTTTTAGTTATTTTTTTTATTGAATTGTGGTAGACATGATATTCTGACTTCAATTTTTTCTGTATTTCTTGTCACTAGATCAAGATTTTTTATCGTGTTATTGAAATTGTGACATGTGTGCATACATGGGATTTTTTTGTATATCCTATATTTAACCTGAGATTATCTATTTTGCATCATCTTGAACATTCTCAGATTTTTTTTAATGTTTTTAATTTATTTTTTTAACTTTTTATTTTGGGGTACAGTCGATTAATATTGTGATAGTTTCAGGTGAATAGCAAAGGAACTCAACCATACATACACATGTATACGTTCTCCCCCCAAACTCCCCTCTCGTCTAGGCTGCCATATAACGTTGAGCAAAGTTCCCTGTGTGCTGTGCAGTAAGTCCTTGTTGGGGATCCATTTAAACGTAGCAATGTGTGCATGTTCATTCCAAACACCCAAACTATCCCTTCCCCTTGGCAACTGTAAATTCATTCTCTAAGTCTGTGAATCTCTTCTGTTCTGTAAGTT